ATGGGTGGATGGTGAATGTGTTGGAGATGAGCTCTCATGTCGTGTATGGGCATGTTAGTGTTGGGAGAGGGGTGAGTCTGGGGCGGCAGGGCACTTATCGGGGACCTGGCAGGGGAGTGAGAGTAGGAGGGCGGAGTTGGGCGTGTTGGCGAGGGTGGCGCCAGACGTATGGAGGAGCGCTGCCCCCGCCGCTCCGAGACCGTATAAGTGCGTGGGAGAGGGCCGGGCACAGGATCTGCTTCGTGGCTCACTTGCCACGAGCGGCTCTTACCCATCGGGGCAGTCGGTTGCGCTACTACAGCCTCCTGCCTCGTGATGTGATGCTGCCGAGGGCGTCCCAGTCCTCCTTCCATCGACAGGCCCAGGTTGACGGAGTGCTGCTGCTGCCACGACCGACTCTTGGCCAGCTGGCGGGCACGCTCGCTCTGCGGGGTGCTGCCGCTGATGCTGTACTGCTGCCAAGAGCGGGCCTTCCACAGGGGCGGCTGCGGGCTGCGAGTGCCGGCGGCCCCCATGCGCCCCTCCTCGTAGGACATGCTCCGAGGCCCGCCCGGGGGCGGCTCGCCGTTGTAGCGGATCTGCAGAGGATCCTGGGTTCCGGGGATGCGAGTCCAGGGGTCGCCGGGCGAGACGCGGCTGGGCATCCTCACTGGCGACCTGCTGGGCGCCCTCTGAGGGGAGCCAGCAGGGCCTCTGCTGGGAGAACGGCTAGGTGCCCTGCTGGGGGACCGACTGCTTGTTCTACGACTATCTCTTCTGCGACTGTCAGAGCGACTCGGAGAGCGGCTTGGGGCCCGGTTGGGCGATCTGCTGGGAGACCTCCTAGATTTGCGCGAGGGAGACCGGCTCCCAGGGGCCTTGAGCGATGGCACAGGGCTGGAGGTGCTCAGGGAAATGGCGGGCACGTTACTCCGCACGCTGCCGCGGCTGCTGCGGCTGTCCCGCGTGTCCGTCGACTCCTGGGACTTGGCGTGGCCGGTCTGGCGGCGCGGGCTGGGGCGGCGCGACCTCCGACCGCTGCTTTTGACGCTGAGACGTGACCCGTGCTGCCGTCCGGAGCTCCCCTGCTCACTGCTGCTGTTGTCGCCGCTGTCCCTCTGCGGTGATGGCAGCTCCACGTTCTCGTAGCCATCGGCGTCCGTGTGAGACGAGACTCGGGAGTGATCGACTGGGTGGTCGTACACGCTGCTTGGGGTCGAGTCGCCGCGGTCACTGCCAGCACGACTACCGGTGCGGCTCCCGGTGCGACTGCCGGTGCGACTGCTGGCAGCAAGGCTGGGAGGACCGCCGACGACCCCACGCTCCCGCGAGGACCGGCTGCTGGTGCCAGTGCGACTTCCCGCGCGACTGCCGCTGCCGGCGCGGCTGCTGTTGTTGGTTCCGCCCCTGCTGGAGCCCGAGTCGGTGGCGCAGTCCAGCAGCCTGTCGCCGCTCCAGCTCTGGCTCTTCTCGATGGAGTGCACCTCCTCCCCATGGCCGTGCGAGCCCCCGGTCCCGCGCCCATCCAGGATTGACGGGGAGCTGTTGATGCTGAACGAGTCGGGCGTGTGGTCATGCGTGTACTTCCATGAGGACGAGCGCTCGACGCCGCTCCTCTGCTGCCCCTGCTGCTGGTAGTGGAACTGCGGCTCCCGGGCGCTGCTGGCCGGAGCGCTCTTGGGCGCGCTTACGGTCACGACCTCCCGCCTGCGCCCGCTCCCGGCGCTGGCACTACGGGCGGCCATCATGGGGTTGGGCGCGATCCCGGCCTCCCCCAGCTCGGGCGGCCCTCCTGAGGGGCCCTTCGTGCTGCCCCCGGAGCCACCTCGCAGCAGCCGGCTCAGTAACTTGCTCTTCTTCATCATTGGTCCTTGTGCGGCACCTCCTCCCTACCAGTTACATGCAACACATAGGTACGAGCCCGCGGTGCAACATCACCATCCACACACACGCCATCACCGCCCTCGCTACACCGAATTCATTGTCACTCATCGCAGGAGAAAAGTACGTTATTTATTCGCAATTCTGTGGAGAAACAAAACATTCATTATAACTACGAACAGAATCATCGTCGAGGCAAACAGCTGTCTTTCGGCTGACGTCGAAAGTACACACGTGGTGGTGGGGGAGCGCTGGGCAGCACAGCCGGGCTGACGGGGATCTCTCTCCCAAGCCTTGGGCGGCCGCGAGGCATTGCTTTAGCGATCCCTGGGAGGCTTAATTTCTTTCTATAACCTTCGACACACGCTCCCTTATCACAAATTTACGTATCGTAAATAATACAAACGCTTCTCCATTACCGCGCGTTAGATGACGCACGTCCGCTCTTTCCAATCAATATGAATTATACTAGGAATTTCTTGCTCTCAAAACAATTTGCGAAGCATTAACAGATCACTAAAAGCGGGACATAACCCTAAAAGTACTCCCATATGTAAAATATGCATGTGTGCAAATGACAATACACAAACTCAAACAAATAAACGCACGTATGTACGCCCTCTCACTGGAGCAACTTTCATCCCGCGCCATTTATCACAATCTCCGCCCTATTGCAATCATTCACCACCACAAAATACAATTTCACTCCCCCCCCCCCACCTTATCAAGAGGTGCTGCACGCTTCGCCCTCGCCCGCCCCTTCCTATCCTCCCTATTTCCCCCTTCCTTCCTCTCTCGCCTAGTTCGACATCCTTCGTCTCACGAGCTCTTATTTTCCGCCTATATTTCTACCTTTCTTCTTTCGTATTTGTTCATATTTTCTATTTCAAGGTGTTTTTGTCTGTCTTTTTCTCGCTCTTTACCGTTTTTTTTTCTTTTTCTTTCTTTTCTCCCTCCCTCCCTCCCCGCCCTCCCTCTCCCTCCTCCTCTCTCTCTCTCCATTTGACCCTTCCTTTACACAATTAATCAGCTTCTCTAAGCCTTTAATCCTAAACTTTGAGGGAAGGAGGGGAAGGGAGGGGGGGAGGGGAGGGGAGGGGAGGGGAGGGGAGGGGAGGGGAGAGAGAGAGAGAGAGAAGAGAGAGAGAGAGAGAGAGAGAGAGAGAGAGAGAGAGAGAGAGAGAAGAGAGAGAGAGAGAGAGAGGAGAGAGGAGAGGAGAGAGAGAGAGGAGAGGGAGGGAGGGAGGGAGGGAGGGGAGGAGGGAGGGAGGGAGGAGGGAGGGAGGGAGGGAGAGAGAGGAGAGAGAGAGAGAGAGAGGAGGAGAGAGAAGAGAGAGAGAGAGAGAGAGGAAGAGGAGAGAGAGAGAGAGAGAGAGAGAGAAAGAAAGAGAGAGAGACAGACAGAGAAGGGTCAAAGAAACAGAAAGAAATACAAACCGAGACAATGAGAAAAAAAGGCAAGACATTAAAACCGACAGGGACGGTCGGCGGGAAGCGAAATAACCGACGGCACCATTCACAGGAGCCCAAAACCCGAAGGACGCCGCCACAACACCTGCAAAACGGCCCAAACTCAAACCCGCCTTGGTATGTACAGCGGCAAGTAAAGAGAATTTCCCCAATAAAGTTCTCTACCAACAATTTTGTCGCGCTGCTAAAAGCGTAAAGTCAGCCGTCAGGGGAGCAAGAAGAAGCTACGAAAAGAAGGGAGAACGGGGAGAATGGGAGAGGAGGGAGAGAAGGAGGGGAAGAGGGAGAAGGATTGGAAGGGGAAAAGGATCGGAAATGGGAAAGGAAGGTGGAAGAGAGAGAGAAGAGAGAGAGAGAGAGAAAGAGAGAGAGAGAGAGGAGAGAGAGAGAGAGAGAGAGAGAGAGAGAGAGAGAGAGAGAGGAGAGAGAGAGAGAGGAGAGAGAGAGAGAGAGAGAGAGAGGGGGGGGGGGGAAGGGAGGGAGGGAGGGAGGGGGGAGAGAGAGAGGGAGGAGGGAGAGGGGGAGGGGGGAAGAGGGGAAGAGAGGGGAAGAGGGAGAGGGAGAGAGAGAGAGGGAGATGAGGGAGAGAGAGAAAAGAGAGAAAGAGAGAAAGAGAGAGAGAGAGTAGAAGGAGAGAGAGAGAGGAGAGAGAGAGAGAGAGAGAGAGAGAGAGAGAGAGAGAGAGAGAGAGAGAGAGAGAGAGAACGTGACCACATTTTCGTACGAATATCAAAATTTCCAACACGTATATGCAATCATACTATACGACCTATAGTGCTGACCTCCCTCGACGAAACGGAGGAAGAGAGCGGTGGACGCGAGAAAATCGGGAAAAGGATGTGGGAAAGAGGAGGAAAGAACAGAAGAGAATCGAGAGAAAAGGAAAAAATATTGAGAAAAGAAAAGAGTAGAAGAGAAGCGAGAAAGAGGAGACATGAAGGAAGGGAGAGAGAGACAGAGAGAGAGAGAGAGAGAGAGAGAGAGAGAGAGCAGAGAGGAGAAGAGAGAGAGAGAAGAGAGAGAGAGAGAGAGAGAGAGAGAGAGAGAGAGAGAGGAGGAAGATGGAGGCGGACGGAGGAGGGAGGGGAAGGTGAAGATGGCGGGTAGAGAGAAAAGGAGAGGGAGTGAGGGTACGCAGAGGGAGGGGGTAAACCAGAGTAGGGTACTATGAGCATCGAGCATAAGAGTGGTCGAGATCTCATAATGCGTTCTGGAGTATAGCTCAAGTACAATAACGCGCACATACAGGAAAATCCTTATAATAATAACATGGTCTATTCACAATATTACACTCTGAATTCGTTGCAAGGTTAACGACTTTTCCATACAGTGGCGTCCCCTGCTCTCTCCTGCTCCCTCTCCCTCTCCCCTCCTCTCGGCTCTCCCTCTCCCTCCCCTTCCCCTCTCCAACTGTACTCTTCCCCCCTCGTGTCCAGAAAATTCTCTCCTTGCACATCACCTTACAAACAAATCACCTCTGCTTTCACCAGTCGCCGCATCCTCTGACCCCCACTCCCTCTTCCAGACCCACACTACGTCTTATACGCTCCCTCCCCTCCCTCCACTTCCTCCCTCTCTGCCCGCCCCCCCCCCCCCAACACGCGAACTGAGCGCAACTGACTCAATATTGGCGCCGAAACTGGAAAGTGAGGAAACCAGGCAAAGGGAGTTGGAAAGTGAAAGTAGATAGTAAAAGAGGAATTAAAAAGGAAATAGTGCAGACAATGTTGGCGACTATAAACCGTACACACTCAGGCCCAAAATAACATGATAGCAGCAGCAAGCAGTGCAGACACAATAACTCAAAATCGAATGCAATTCAATACAATAACTGTCTAACAGAGAGAGGGACAGGAAGGAAAGGGAGAGAGGGAAGCAGGGTGAGTAGTGAGAGGAGAGGATTGAGGAGAGAAGGAGGGGCAGGGTGTAGAGGGAGAGGGAGGGAGGGAGAGAGGAGGGGAGGGAGAGGAGGGAGTGAGAGAGAGGAGAAGAAGGGAGAGAGGGAGAGGGGGAGAGGGAGAGGGAGTTAGGGATAGGTGAGAGAGAAGGGAGAGGGAGAGGACGACGGGAGAGAGACGAAGGCGAGACGCAGACACGCACGAGCACGAGAGAAGAGACAGCANCTTTAAAAATAAGATAATGCAAGAAAGAGAAGACGATACGCCCCACACGAAACGAAGGGAGCCGCAGCGACCGAGTCCCCACCGCCGGGCGGGACACACGCAACAAAACACACAACAGAACGCGTAACGGAGAGCCAGCGGGACTTTCCATGGCAACCTTTGGCTACAGCACACCCGGCCAGCCAATCTTCTTTCCTGACGGCCAGACAGAGGGGAAAAAGAGGGGAGGAGCTGGGGCGCACGGGGGATCAGACGGGGAAGATGAACCAGCCCAAAGCGAGATTAAGGGGATGGAAAGCAACGGTAATGAATGATAATGATGATAATCAAAATCATCAGATGGTGATGATTGATGAGGACGATTATGATTAATGATGATTAATGATGATGATGATGATAGCCACAACAACAACAGTAACAATAACAAAATCAACAACAAAAATAACAATAATAACTAATTATGATAACAACAACAACAATAATAATAACAAAACAATAACAATGAGAACAGATGATAATGACAAAAACTCCTTCCCTTCCTCAGACGCATATTCTGTTTACTTTCATCAAGTTCGTTTTCGTTATGCGAGCGATGTGTACGAGAAGAGCAAGGAAGAGAGAAAAGAGGAAGCGTGAGGCAGTGGAGGAGGAGGGGAAGGGGGGAGGAAGCGGGGTAAGGGGGGAGAGGGGAAGGGGGGAGGGAAGGAGGAGTAAGGGACGAGGAGGAGGAGAAGGAAACGGAAGAGGAGGAGAGGAGTTGGAGAAGGAGGAGGGGAGTTAGAGAAGGAGAAAGGAGGAGGAGTTGGAGAAGGAGAAGGAAACGGAGGAGGAAGCGAAAATAATCAGAAAGAAGAGAAGGAGGGGAAAGAGAAGAAATGGAGCGCAAGCAAGAGAAGAGACACGCACGGAGAGCAGAGAGCAGAGCGAGACGAGAAGGGAGAGGGAGGAGTTAGATGGAGAGGGAGAGGGGGAGTGGGAAGGGAGGTGGAAGGGAAGGAGAGTGGGGGGGGGATGTCTCATTTAGCGTTCCCAGCAGAAGGATGACGACAGCAAGCGCGTGGATTATCATGCTCCCACGAACTGCGGCTGCACGCGTAAAATGGCCGGAGGGGAGGGGAGGGGGGGGAGACGAGATGCGAGAGGGGAAAGAGCTGAAGAGAGAGAAAAAGATGAGGGGCAGGTGGGGCAGCAGAAGAGCGGGAGGAGAAAAGGGGAAGAAGACACGCGAGGAGGTGCGCAGGGAGAGAACGGGGATAGAAAGGTTGAGAGAAGAGGAGAATAAGAAAGCGGAGGAAGAAAGGCGACGCATGAGAAGAGGGGAGAGAGAGGAAGGGAAAAAAGAGATAGGAAAAAGAGAGGGTCTGGAAGGAAGCAGGTGATATAAAGGTGAATGAGGCGGGGGAAAAGGAAAACCGGATAATAATAAAAAAAAAAAAAAAAAAATGTAGGAAGAAGGAAGAAAAATTGAAGTTACCAAGAAGGATAAGAGGATGAAATGGTATCAAAAGATAAGAGTCTGCATCGCTTTACAGAAAGTAATTGAAAAATATAAAAGGAAAAGGAAAAGAACAAAAAATGAAAGGAGAGGAAAAAATGAAAAGGAAGGGAGGGAAAGGGAGAGGAAAGGGAGAGAGGAAAGGGAGAGTAGAGAGAGAGAGAGAGAGAGAGAGAGAGAGAGAGAAGAGAGAGAGAGAGAGAGAGAGAGGAGAGAGAGAGAGAGAGAGAGAGAGAGAGAGAGAGAGAGAGAGAGAGAGAGAGAGAGAGAGGAGAGGCGGGAGGAGAAGGAGACGAGAGAGAGACGAGAGAAGAGGAAAGGAAAAAAAGGAGAGAAAAGGCGAGGAGTCAGATAAGAGTCGAGATGAGAAACATCGGAGAAAGTGAAAGAACGAGAAAAGGGTGAAAGAGAAAGAGGAAGAAAGGGCGAGGCGGGAATGAAGATAAGAGAGCATCATTAAGCTTCTCGCGCGCTCCCAAGCTTCGGTGAATTCTCACGAACTCAAATCCTTTAATCCGAGATTAAATGCTCAAATGTCTAAAAACAAAAATT